TTGCGCCACACCTATACGAGGACAGTAAGTAAGCCCCGAGGGTAACAAGCCGCCCCAGAGTCCCCAACAGGTCCACCATCCTTGAGTCCAAGATCGACACATGTGAACATTTTACATTAAATCCTGCAGCGCATCAGTGCATCAGCGCCCGTTGCTTCTGTGCATATAATGCAAGTCTAATTCGTGCAGGACAGACAAACTCGGGACGATTGAATGGCCGACTCTGAGATGCAGTCAGGAACTCTGTCCAAGTCCAATGCGATTCTCAAGGCATGGTTGAAGTTTACTGGGACCAAGCGGCAACCCAAAGTGACGAAATGGCGGTCAAGCGACTAGTACGTGTCTTCGAGTCGAGTCGAAAGACAATAATAATGTGTCTCGGTTTCAGCCACTTGGGCCCAGCGAATGTCGTGCATGCAATCTGCAATCCATGCTCAATCCGGTTTGAAAAGGAGAAAAAAACGAACCGTGGGTACGGACGAGGTAGCAGAACACGACCCGCGCCGATACTTGCCATCATCTCATTGGCCTGCAAGTTGACCATTGCCTTGCTTCAGCCAGCTTGAAACATTCATACCGAAAGCATCTGAGAAAGGCTTGGAAGGTCCCAAAAGCTAGGCCCGAATCACTATCATTCATCGTCTCATGAAACACCAAATCAAAGCATCTTAAAAATGTGTCATCACTTCTCCCGCACATGCTGACCCTGCAGTGTTGAGCCCAAAGGTTCTCCGACCCCCGAAGGATATGAAGGCGGTGCATTGACCGCGTTGCCATAACTTTCAACTCCATACCCGGGCTGTCCTGCACCGCTCTGCGACGCTCCTGAATAAGACGAGGCATAATAATCGTCCCGCTTTTCGTCGGGCATATATGCTTCGGCTGGCACAATGCCTCCGTCTCCGGAGCCGACCACGAGTTGTTGCCCGTTTGGCATGCGGCCGACCACCATGCCCTTCGCCACGGATTTGATTACTGCTCGACGGGACACGCCCATGGCATCGATGTAGACAAGCCCCACATTCTTGACACCACCAGCCAGGCCTTGCGCCACGGTACCGGCCTCCTTGCCGTATTTGTGGCTGACTACGTTCGTCGCCGCCGCCGAGCTTGAAGCCAGAAGGTTGCGACCTGCCTGATCGATGCCATCAGCAATGGTGGAGAAAGCAATCATGGATTTGTTGAGAATGCCAGGTTTATAGTCCTTGCCCAGCTCTTTTCTGTTCTTTTCTCCTTTCCGAGCCAGTGAGGCCCCGAAATTCTGGGCATATCTACCCAATTGACCAACCGTCTTCGCGCTGAGACCAACAGCCCCCTGAGTAAAGGAATGGATCTGACGAATGCGCGCGTGGGTGGCAGGGGAGAATGTCATAGGCTTGGGATTCGGCTGGGTTTTTCTTTGGAATGAATCTGCGCCAGATGACATCTTATTAGCCAGGTAAGAGGAACTCGTCACAATTAGCCTGGAGGCGGTCGCAGAGCTTTGGACGACTCGCGACTTCGCGTAAGCCGGATGTTTCGACATTTCGAGATAATCTTCGGAAACGTTGTCGACCCGAATCTGATTGCCTTGCCCTTCGACAGGCAGCTGTATCTGGACGGGAGCTGTGTACAACCTGTCAGTAAAACCCAAATACGGGAGAAGTAGATGACACACGTACTTTTCGATCCAGGCTTGACCGATGTCTCCTCAACCAGCGTGTAGTTGTCCTGAAGCTCTCCGATTACGCTTCCATTCTCTTCGTCAATAAGCACAATTTGGCCATGTTGGTGAGGGCGCTCCTTTTCAGGCTTGGGTGTCCCAATATAACCCTCTCCCGGTCGATAATTGTTCGGATCGTAGCGCTCGAATCCTGGAGGTGTGCTATGTACACGTTCCAGGAACGCCGTACATTGGGCAAGAATGGTCTCAAATGTGTCTACTTCGTCTTGAGTCACCTTTCCCGGCCCGCTGCCTACGGAAGGGAACTGCAGCCGGATAAAAGCCCCCGCGTCAGGCCCCAGATCCCATCGCGGTATCAGGTAACTGCTGGGAGGTTTGTGATAGATCTGGGTAGTAGCAGGCAGGGGGAGATCTAGTTCCGGAGGCAGATGGAGGTGGAGGTAGAAATCTTCTTCGGGCGTTGCGCTGGTAGGTTCTGTGCTTGACAAGTCGGCAAAAGGTGACGCAGTCGGCACCATCAGCAGCGACAATGTCTGAGGGCCAGACGTCGTGATCAGATGTTCCTCTCCATTCTGGACAGAATAGGCAGAGATATTGTTGACGCTGTAGAGCACCTGCGGTTCAGAATGACCGGCAGACATGATAAGACAGCCAATGCAAGATGGTACCAAGGTACCGGGTAACGTTCAAATGGATAGAGAGGGGTAACAGACACTTTTTGCGCACGGCGAGGGAAAACTGGGCGACGAAACAAAAGAAATCAAACCTTAGGGGTACAATCTAGGGCGGCTATCAAAGATTCTTAATATATCCTTGACTTGGACTTGAATGCTGGGCATCATCGGTTGTCGCCAGTTGAATGGATGACTGCGTGAAAAGTGGGCGCCAAAGGGTCGCAACTTGCGCAGGATGGCTGGATCCCGTAGTGAGCGACGTCAGAGTCCGGTTGCTGCGCCACGGTAAATCTCAAGCCACAAGTTGTTGTCAGCCACAGGAAGCCACTGCAGCTCAAATCGCTTGGTGTTCGTGGCGTTCTAGACTGGCAGGACTGGATCATTTTTGGCTGGCGAGGGAGGCTGGGGAGGCAGGAGGTGGGCATCCTATCATTTAAGAAGAACCAAGGACTCGCGCTTCTCGTCCAGAGGTCCAGAGTTGCCAGCGGCTCTCCTTGGCCCGTGAAATAGGATCCGAGAAGTCGCCGATCCTTCGATATCCGCGTGTGGCCCGCCCTGGCCGCCTAGCAGGGGATGTTGATGAGCCGAGCACCGAGGAATCTGCTTCTGCAAAAGCCAATTGCGCAGGACAGCCACAGCTTTGACTTGCAATTTGTTGCCCGAAACTATCCCTTCGGAGTCTGGATCAGTCTTATATACACATTCGCCCTGGACCTGAGCACGACTCTGCCGGTCCTCACTCTCAACTCCTGAAAAGTCAACATGGCCGCCATACCGAGAACGCTGCGACCCCTCGCAAAAGCTACTACATACATTGCGCCTCTCTCACCAGCAACCAGATCCCTTCCTCGAAGAAATCTTCTGCCGTATGCTCTTCCCTCCCTCTAGACCCCCGACGTTGGCTAAACTGGCATCAGCAAGCGAACATTCACTACTACCTCAAGGCGGCGCTATGCTGAACCTTACATGCCCGATGACATCGACACGGCCTCCCTGTCTCCGACTCCCATCACGCACTTTTCGGAGACCGAGAGAATGCTTGCAGAATCTGTCTCCAGATGGGCGAATGAAGAGGTTGCACCAAAGGTGAGGGAGATGGACGAGAACGAGCAGATGGACCCGGCCGTCATTGAGCAGATGTTCGAACAAGGGCTCATGGCGTTTGAGATTCCCGAAGAGTATGGGGGCGCTGGGATGAACTTCACATCTGCCATTGTGGGAATTGAAGAGATTGCCAGGGTCGACCCTTCGGTGTCGGTCATGTGTGATGTACACAACACGTTGGTGGTGACGGCCGTTCTCAGATACGGTAGTGAAGCATTCAAGAAGGAGTGGCTTCCGAGGCTGGCTACGAACACTGTCGGATCATTCTGCTTGTCTGAACCTGCATCAGGCTCCGACGCCTTTGCACTGAAGACCAAGGCAGAAAAGACATCAAATGGCTACAAGGTATGTCTCTTCAAATTTTTTTTCAGTTGCTGTTTGGTGTCGGGCTCTTTCCTGTCATCCGATTTACTTACAAAGTACTAGATCAACGGTTCCAAGATGTGGATAACGAATTCCATGGAAGCCGAATTCTTTCTAGTTTTTGCCAATCTTAACCCCGAGGCCGGGTATAAAGGTATCTCGGCATTTGTCCTGACCAAAGATATGAAAGGCTTCAGCATTGCCAAGAAAGAGAAGAAGCTTGGTATCCGGGCTTCCAGCACCTGCGTTATTAATTTTGACGATGTTGAAATTCCCAAGGAGAATCTCCTGGGTCAGGAAGGGCAAGGCTACAAGTATGCAATCAGTCTTTTGAACGAAGGGCGTATTGGTATTGGCGCGCAAATGACGGGGTTGGCTCTGGGCGCTTGGGAGAACGCTGCCAAATACGTGTGGAACGACCGGAAGCAGTTTGGCAAGTTGATCGGTGAGTTCCAGGGCATGCAACATCAACTTGCGCAAGCCTATACCGAGATCTGTGCCGCCCGCGCACTGGTCTACAACGCCGCTCGAAAGAAGGAGGCGGGCGAAGATTTTGTCACCGATGCCGCCATGGCCAAGTTGTATGCCAGTCAGGTTGCCGGGAAAGTCAGCGGACTAGCAGTTGAGTGGATGGGAGGCATGGGGTTTGTCCGTGAAGGCATCGCCGAGAAGATGTTCAGAGATAGTAAGATCGGGGCCATCTACGAGGGAACGAGCAACATCCAGCTCACCACGATAGCCAAGGCGCTGCAGAAGAAGTACACATCATAGGGCGCCGTTCTGGGCACTCGTGTATAGATCGGATATTGGGAATGTCGACACACTGTACAATGAGGTTGTCTCCGGACCATTTTTCGCATTCGAACTTGACGTTGGCGACTTGAATAGAAGGTGTTCGACGGACGTAGCACTCGTCCGTGGCCGTGGATGTGGCTATTTGGGAATTACTTCCCAATTAGTCAGTCTTGGCTCTTACATAAAGACGCCATGGATGCCCTCTGATGTACGAGGTATTTCCGGTAAAATCGAACTATACGCCACAGGGGATATCGCGGGCTTCGCGATCAGTCTATAAACGACAAGGCGGATCACCCCTTTCCAATGCGGCCGCATGAACCGCCAGCTGTCTCACCATCCCATCTTTTACTTCGCTGCGCTGGGCTCGAACAGATTTCTGCAAAGACCTGTGCATCACCATGGACGTCGACACGGCAGACCAACCCGATAAAGCCCCTCAAGCCTGCGTATCCTGTCGAAAGCAAAAGAGAAAATGCGACAAGTTGTTGCCCAGCTGCTCGTTGTGCACTCGCATGTCCCGGCCTTGTGATTATTCGGAGACCGCCCCGATTCCTACCTCTGAAGACTTTGCCATGATGCGACAGAAAATTGCTGACCTGGAAGCCCGACTCGAAGGTCGACGCTCCGAGGGCTGGCATGGACCGATGCGATCTTTCAGCAGAAGCCCGGGCACGGGGAGCGAGGCTGGCTTTGCAACCGACAGCAATGTCACCTTCCCACCTGCTTTTTTCCTCGACGCCGAAGTCTATGCCGAAGCGCAGATGACCATTCCTCGACCCAACATAGCGGTGCCCCCAGAGGTTGCGGCGACGGTGGGAGTCTCGATCCTGGACATCCAGGACATTGTCGACCGGTACTTTGCCAACATTCACACCTGGCTTCCTTTCATCTCCAAGAAGCGCATGCAGTTGACACTGTCCAATCCCGCTCTGGAGCTCACTCTCGACCTAGCACTCCTCCTGCTATCCATGAAACTGGTCCTCCAAGTTCCCCAGGGGGATTCCCAGAGTATTCGATCCCCGCTGTACAATCTCACCAAGAGCTACGCCACGATGGTGGAATCGAGTGGATTGATGTCCTTACAACTGCTGCAAGCAAACATCTTGATCGCGACGTACGAGCTCGGCCATGCGGTCTATCCAGCTGCTTACCTAAGTACTGGACACTGCGCAAGGCTAGGACATGCTCTGGGTCTCAACGACAGGAAACGTGCTCCTCAAATGTTGAAGAAGAAATCGGGATCGTGGGCGGAGCTAGAAGAGTTTAAAAGGACGTGGTGGGCAACAATGCTGCTGGATAGGTATGTGCAACTATACCCCTATACGGATCTGAAGCTGACCTTTGGTGGAGGTATGTCAATCTAGGTTCCTCAGGTCACCCTTTGTCTACCGATGACCCTGTCCTCAATGAAACCTTGCCGGCAGACGACGACCTCTGGGACGAAGGCCACATAACGACAAGTGAGCCCCTTTACGTGACCTCGCCCACCAACGTCAAAGCCGGAGCGTTTACACGAACGTGCCAAGCGACGCACCTCATGGGGAGGCTCGTCCGACTCCTCAATGACAAGATGCTTGATGCCCCCATGCGATTTTCAGAAGCAATCCAACTACATCGGACACTGCAGGCATTGGCAAACCTACTTCCCAACGATGTCCATCACGTTCCCGAGCGCTATGGAACACCCTTGGCACTCTGTTACAGCAGCCTCATGCACCTGTGTGACCCTTTTGCCTGTACCGAGTCCAATCACGGCTTCCATACTGTCGAAGAGACTGAGATGCAGACAATTGCAATCGCTGGGCTGAAGTCGGTTGCATCAGATGTACTCCGTTTCAGCCAGCTGTGGCACATGGGCATGCTATCGAATCCTGCGGCAGCAAGTCCTTTGCTTGGTGATTGTTTATATTTTGCGGCGACTATATACGCATGGCTTGCCCAAGAAACAGGAGTCAGGGAAATGGGAGACGCCTACCATGTTCTCAGAAAGGTGTTGGAAACAATGTCTTCCCGATGGGCGGTAGCGCAGCAATATCTGATTTTGCTCGACCTGAGTAAGGAGCATCTGTATGCGGATTCAATACTCGTCTGATGGAAAGGACCCCCATCAGTCGAGGTGTTTGCCAATATAGAATCTCAACCAATTGCAATGATAATGATGATATGTCAAAGACTGTGTCATTTGAAATGAATTTAGAAGGCTGCAGTCACGCACCTGCGCCCCTGTCATTTCATTAGATTTGCTGCCACCTTGTCACAAATCAGCCTCCAATCCCTCTCCCTCTCAACCTCCGCACGCACACCATATTCCACAAGTCGCTCCCTCAATCCCTCCACAATGAGATAAACTCTAGACTTGCTGCCATGGCCACGACTGCAGCAGCTTCTTACAAGGCTCGCAAGGAAGCCTTCGTGTCCAACCTCTACGGAAGTTCCTTGACCGAGATCAATTTGGTCACGCTTGTTGCCGCAGTATGATTCCTCTGCAAAGCTCCATCTGCGGCCTCCACTCACGAACCATGACTGATTGATATTCGCAGGCCGCCGTCTTTCTCTGGACTGCTTTGCAGAAGAACTACTCATTCTTCACGCCGTCCTCTCCGGTCGCTTTACTCGCCGACTTCCTGCTCAATGTCTGCGCTATTTTGTTCGCAATCACTCTCTATTCATCCGCGCCGCTGGCCTTAAACGTCTTTCTCATCACGCCGGCGGTGCTCCTTGTATTCCTCAAGACTGGAGCGCAGTCGACCACTTCTTCGGACGGTTCAGCCAACTCATCGGCTAGGAAACCAAGGAAGCCAGCCAATGTCGATCCTTCGGTTGTTAGTGGCAGCGAGACTAGCAATTCCAATGCTTCCCTGACCCTCCCAGTTCGACCATTCCTCACTCATTACCGAGGCTCCATGCTCGTTGTGACCTGTTTGGCTATCCTAGCTGTCGACTTTCCCATCTTCCCTCGTCGATACGCCAAAGTGGAGACATGGGGCACGTCGCTCATGGATCTAGGCGTTGGCTCTTTCGTCTTTTCCGCCGGTGTGGTCTCTGCTCGAGCTGTCGTCCGCGTCCGTTTCAGTGACCAGGCCTCTCCACAAACCACCTCCTCCAACTTTGGCAGTCGTTTCATCAAAGCTTTTCGACATTCTATCCCTTTACTCATCCTCGGCTTTATTCGTCTTTACAGCGTCAAAGGACTTGACTATGCCGAGCATGTCACGGAATACGGAGTTCACTGGAATTTCTTCTTCACCCTGGCATTACTTCCACCCTCCGTAGAGATCTCTGACAGCCTAAGCAGGGCATTCAAGTCCTACGAGGTCTTTGCGCTCACTCTGGCTGTCGTCTACGAACTGGTCCTTGACAACACAGACCTTCTGTCGTATATTCTCATTTCTCCTCGAGGACCCGGTCTCTTGTCGAAAAATCGTGAAGGAGTGTTCTCCTTCACAGGATACCTGGCGATCTTCCTCGCAGGGCGTGGAACCGGAATACTCTTAGTCCGGTTTAACGAACCAGTTCCCAAGGTCACGAAGCAGTCGAGCCCGAGCGATGTCACGCGCCGTGAGAGAAAATTGGTCCTCAGAGGCCTTTTCGTCATGTCTCTCGTCTATGGTTTCCTGTACTGGGCAACGACGAGCATCCACATGTTCAGTCTCACAGTATCCCGCCGCCTCGCCAATCTTCCTTACGTGCTGTGGGTCGTGGCCTTTAACAATGCCCAACTCTTCCTGTTTGGTCTGGTGGAAGACTTCGGGCCAATATTCTCCTACAATCCGGAAGACAAGGACAGGGTTCGATCTGCAACCAGCCGCATTTTGGCGGTATATAACAACAATGGGCTCGTCGTCTTTCTGATTGCCAATCTATTGACGGGTCTGGTCAATCTGACTTTCAACACGCTCGATATGCCTCCACTAGAGGCAATGGGTCTATTGATAGTTTATGCCGTGATGGTCACTGGGGTAGCTCTAGGACTGGACAAGAGCGGCGTGAAGATCAAGCTATAAGGCGCACGAGCTAGACCCAAGCTGTTACCTGGTACTTCTTCCATGGAGCCACACAGTCCACTGTTCGTGGACGGCCAGCAGCCCTCACCCCCCAGTGCTCAAGAGCATAGCTTGAGTGGCTGACATCTCCTGACAGTGTCATTCCACCAAGAAGGCTCTTTACCTCTTACACTCTACCCATCTAGGAAGGGTGAAGAAGACGGCTCGAGCAGAGAGATGACATAAAATCTGGCCATTTGAAAGCATTACAAAGGATCCAAGCCTAGCACGACCCACTGGCTGCCCTAACGGAGGACACGCTCTCGTCAGCTTCAGTAAGCAAGATTATGCAACCCACGATCTAGCGGCAAGCAAAGAGTGTACGCTAGTGCTGTACATGTGCAAGCGGCCTGTGTCGAAATGTTCAGGCATGTCGCGGGAAGGATAGAAGGGGATGTATTGTATGTCCACAGCCTAGTGTTCACCCGTCGATTGTTCAACACCGAACGTTAAGTCCGATTTACAGGCTTCATGTACCACGGAGCGAGAGATTTATACACATACGTACCGAGGTAGAGACAGCGAAGCGTGTGTCCTATACCGAGTACATATTACGTACTATATTGCCGTGTAATATACAAGAATAGACATGGACATGGACATCTGTCACAACTACTCTGCCATTTCTCTGCGGAAAGATGGCTAACCCTAGGTAATTTTTTCATGGACTTGATATTGAAGAGACTAGGCCAGACGATATCAGAACAGCAAAAAGACGGGTGGTATCTCTCGATCTATCTAGGTATTTAGGTATCGACAGTAAAGTAGATGATGGCGTCCCTGAGTAAACATACATGTCCTGTTGTTGTTGTTATCATCATCATCATCATCATCGTTGTGGTATTCATCACCACCTGTGCGTTGTTATGTGTACTGCTCTGCTTCCTCTTGCATGGGCTTCCCTCCTCCCACCCCTTCCCGGCTGGGCGGTGTTGAACCCGTAAGCTAGCCAGCTACCATTCCACCTGGACACCGGTGCTCGATCGCCCTCTGAAGAATCTCTCAGTCACGTCCTATGGTTTGCAGCATATCGCCAACACTATTTCCTTCCAAGAAAAAACCAACAAAAAAAAAAAAAAAAAAAAAAAAATTGCCCACAAAGCGGTCGAGGACGAATAGATCAGTAAAATAGGTAAAAGGAACATAAACACCCAAAACCAACATGCTCGGTACGTTCTCACTCAGTACGGCACAATCTTGGCCCGTTGGACGAGATCCCGGGGCAAGTCTGATTCCTTGACCAGGCCGAGGCGGAGGCAGTCGCCCCAGAAGAACATGGCGCGGTCTTGGGCGTAGGCGAGGTAGTCGAACTCGTCTTCGGGCTCGTCGGGTTCGTCACCACCAGCATCGGGGTCACCGTCCGCGTGAGACGCTCCGTCTTCGCGTGCCGATGTCGTGTCTGTAGGGTCGTTGTTGTGCTGGGGTTCGGTTTGATGATGTTGTGGTCGGTCAGACTTGGCTCCTCCGTCCGCGGTGGCTGCTTGATTAGAATCGGTGTTCTTCTCGAGGTCCTTTTCCGTGGTGGTATCGCAAGTGGAATGACAATCAGGAGTGTCCGCTGGGTGCCTCACCACGACATCTCCATTGCCTTCCTGGTGTGCCTCCTCTTGTGCTCTTCCCTCTGGTCGATCCCAGTGACTCTCCAATTGGATCCGTTGCTCCTCTTCAGTCAGGGGGTCGGACATTGCATACGCATGTTCGGTCTGTTGATGTTTGTCGTCGCCACCCTCCTTGTTCACCAAGCCCTTCATCTTCTCGACAACCTTCTTCTCTCCTGCGGATATCATCTCCGTCACACTCCTTCTCCTCTCCTGGATGCGCTGGCCCATTGTCTTCAACGTCGCCTTATTTTCCTGCAATGCGTCCAGCTCCGGCACTTTGGCCTGCACGATCCCCCACGCCACCCACTGTGCCGAATTGGCAACCCGCCACATCCTCGTTTGCTGCAACAACCGATTAATTTCTTCTTCCTGGGCCCTTTCCCGTTCGGACTCTTCTTTGTCGTAGTCACTTTCGGCGGGCCCCTCGAACCCGCTACTCCCTCCCCAAGCATTCGGAACTCCGCCTCCTGGGGTTCGAGCATCGAGCATGAAATCGCTGATATTGGTCTTCTCCCGGGCCTCCATCTTTGGCGTCGCACTCGCCGAGGGGTTGAACTGCGGCCGGTGCATGACATAACTCCTCACAAATCTGTGTTGCTCCTGCTCGTTCGGGTATCGTCGCGTGTCACATTGAAAGTTCTTGTCGGGGGGATTGTGATAGTTGTAACACCACTCGGTGAAATGGTTGGCGAATTCCAACCCGACAGGATTTTGTGCTGCGTACTCAAAGTCGATGACGACGAGTTGCTTGTGTTGATTCGATGGTCGAAGGAGTGGCGACGTGCCAGAAGGTTGTAGGCGCATAAGGTTCCCGTATTGAGTGTCATTGTGTGCGAAGACGAGCAGGTCGCGGATTCCCTCGACGCCACCACATTGTTCGATTAGCCACTGTCGATACGTGTCGTAGGCTTTGCGGAATACAGGCCATTCAACACCGCAAATCAACCCTCGTCGGACGTAGCGCGCATTCCCCCTCGACTTTCGCCTTGCTGTTCCGTCTGCGACCTCCTTGTCCACCTGATGGACCTGTTCGTCGAGCCAAGAGATGACTTTCTCACACCGGTCGACCCATTTGTCCCAGTTCACAAAGACCGCGGGGCCTGCAGCGAGTTCAGATTCAAGCAAGTCAATCCCTTCATGAAGCTCGCGCATTCGTTTGGCAATTTGTTTCGAGGTCTCGGGAGCACGCAGATCCTCCGCCGTGAGGGTTTTGGCATTGAGAAACTCCTCAAAGCGGCCGTTTTCGAAGGACCCCAGGAGGCGAGGTCCGATACTTTTTCGAGCAAGGCGACGAAGGATCCCAAGTTCGGCTTCTCGGTCAATCAGATGTTCAACCTGGGGGCCGTAGATACGAAGAAGAAGAGATGTAGGGCGGCGTCGGGAGACAGGGACGGGCGGGGCAGAAGGGTCGGAAGGGTTGTGGGCATCGTATTCGGACATATCTTTGGGAGGATGGACAACATAGACAGCGTTGGTAAGGGCACCGCTCAGACGCGCAACATCAATATCGGCAGCTCTATCAATTGGGATGCGGCGCCAGCCCTTAAGCTTAAGTGTATGCGTCAAGCGGACAATATCCTTTTTGAACGTCACCCAATGCTCATAGTCCTGCCTCCTCGCACTATCGCTGGTATCCACATCTGCCGAACCGCCAGTGAAAGCCATCGTTTTGGTATTATCCAGCTTCGCTTCAACATTGGGAACCAAGATATCTTCGCCGAAGAACTCGGTGTCTGATGAAGCTGGAACGGAGCGAGGAGACTGTTTGTATTTCTTGCCGAGGGATCCTCTTCTCAAAATGGAGCTTGAAGATTTGTGGAGAAGTTTTGAGGTATTGGTGAAGGAGAAGTTTTGGAGGATGTTCTCAAGCCTCTGTAGGGACATGTCTTGCTCATCGTCAGGGGCGACTTCATGGGATCTAGAGTTGTCGGTCTGATCGTCGGGTGTCTTCGGCGGCTTGTTGTGATGATGGTGATGGCGACGATGCCTTTGCTTCTGTCGCTTTGCCTTTTCATCCTGAAGCCAGTCGGTAACTTGGGTCAAGATAGTGCGGAGGTCTGGCGTTTTGCTCTCTGCTGTCGTTCCTGGAGTCGTGGTACCTGGTCCGGCCGACCATGAATCAGGGGGGTTGTTATCGTCCAGGCTGAAATACGACATGGGTCTGTTAAGGGGAGCACCGGCAGGGGAGAGATGAGAAGAATGGGAATTCGAAGAAGGCAGAGCGGGCCGTCCGGTCAACTTCTTGCCTGAAATACTGGCGCGGTGAAGTTTGGGGCTGTGCAAAGCGACAAGCGTGGGGGATGTTCCTACAGCATTACCCTGGCCATCTGTGAAGACATTGATATTGGGCTCGGGGATATGCTCTGGCTCGTCGAAGATGGTCACACCTAAGAATGCATTAGAGATCTGACAGAGTACATCATTTCTGACCACGAGCCTTTTTATCTTGCGGCAGATACCAAACAGGAAAAAAAGAAAAGAAAAGCAAACACAATGCCAGGTGCCACCACGTAATCGCTGGAATCCGATTGTTCAATGGAGACTCTTTGTTTCCCACAACATCCCACTGTCGTGTGCTCCAGAGTCGCGTGACGGACAACCCTCGAAAGTGCTTGAGCGACAGGAAACGGGCAACAGCGCACGTGCATGGCTCATCGTATCAGGGGAGGTGATTGCGGTTGCCCCAGTCAGACGCACGGGTTTGAGCGACGGCGTGAACATGGAAATTATGCAGCAAAAGGAATGACAAGGTGTGGACACAATGTCACAATGGAAATGCGCGAGGAAAGTCATCGATCTGCACCATGCGCCACCGTCTCCAGAGATGCAAACACCAACACATCAGAAGCAAGGGGATTTTGTTTGTTAGGGGCGACGCATGGGGGGTTGGGGGTGTGTGTTTGTGGTGAGGCGGTAGCCGTACCTTTCTGTGGCCCTGTGCGTGGCGAGCCGCTTGCTTTCAGACTTGGGTCGGGATATGAGGGCGCCATGATGAAGTGAATGGCTCGCCCGACTGGGGCTGTTTGTTGTAAATCGATTTTCAGCCTTTTCTAGCCATGGATAAGTAGGAGTAGGAATTATAGCAGTGCGAACGGAATGGTGGATGGACGTCCAGCAAAAGTGAAAGGCGGGAAATGATGGAAAGCGGAAAAGTGGAAAATGACCTCAGAGGAAACCCCAGAGGCAAACAAGCAACAGGCTGCATCCAAGGCTGAGCACGTGCTCGCCACAATTCAACCGCAGTCACACACATCGAACCATCGCACTCAACTACAACAAGTGAACCTGACCCAATGTCTTTCTTTCTTTTATCCCTACCACTAAGCACCAAGTACACCAGTACAAGTATTTTCCTTATTT